AAAATAAAATGTTCTTTTTGTTCCTTTTTGGGCTATGTACTGACGGGTTTGCATTAACCACTTCAGCTGTGGATGATTCCCCCCCATGACCAGGCCATTTTTTGGCTGTACGGCGCTGGGTTACTTTGAAAATTGCGCGGTCATGCAACTCTGTACCTAAATAAAATTATAGAATTCTTTCCAACAAATAGCACTTTTTTTTTTGGGGGGCGTTTGATCACTTCTGGGTTTTTTTATTAAACAAAAAAAAAAGACCAATCATTTTTGAAAAAAAAAAAACTATATTTTAACTTTCTGCTATAAAACATATCCAATAAAAAAAAATTCAAAAATCAAATTTCTTCATAAATTTAGGCCAAAATGTATTATGCTACATATTTTTGGTTAAAAACATTCCAATAACCGTATATTGATTGGTTTGCGCAAAAGTTCTGGGCAGCACAATGGCTAAATGGTTAGCACTTCCGCCTGGCAGTACTCGGGTCGTTGGTTTGAATCCCAGCCACGGCACCACCTGCCTGGAGTTTGCATGTTCTCCCTGTGCCTTGCGTGGGTTTCCTCCGGGTACTCTGGTTTCCTCCCACACTCCAAAGACATGCTGGTAGGTGACTGGCTCCTGTCTAAATTGTCCCAAGTATGTGTATGTATGGATGTGAGTTAGGGACCTTAGATTGTACGCCCCTTGAGGGTTAGGGACCTTAGATTGTACGCCCCTTGAGGGTTAGGGACCTTAGATTGTACGCCCCTTGAGGGTTAGGGACTGATGTGAATGTACAATATACAGTGGGGATCGAAAGTTTGGGCACCCCAGCTAAAAATTTGTATTAATGTGCATAAAGAAGCCAAGGAAAGATGGAAAAATCTCCAAAAGGCATCAAATTACAGATTAGACATTCTTATAATATGTCAACAAAAGTTAGATTTTATTTCCATCATTTACACTTTCAAAATAACAGAAAACAAAAAAATAGCATCTGCAAAAGTTTGGGCCCCCTGCAGAATTTATAGCATGCGCTGCCCCCTTTGCAAAGCTGAGACCTGCCAGTGTCATGGATTGTTCTCAATCATCGTCTGGGAAGACCAGGTGATGTCAATCTCAAAGGTTTTAAATGCCCAGACTCATCTGACCTTGCCCCAACAATCAGCACCATGGGTTCTTCTAAGCAGTTGTCTAGAAAACTGAAACTGAAAATAGTTGATGCTCACAAAGCTGGAGAAGGCTATAAGAAGATAGCAAAGCGTTTTCAGATGTCAATATCCTCTGTTCGGAATGTCATTAAGAAATGGCAGTCATCAGGAACAGTGGAAGTTAAAGCAAGATCTGGAAGACCAAGAAAAATATCAGACAGAACAGCTCGCAGAATTGTGAGAAAAACAATTCAAAACCCACGTTTGACTGCACGATCCCTCCAGAAAGATCTGGCAGACACTGCAGTTGTGGTACACTATTCCACTATAAAGAGATACTTGTACAAATATGGTCTTCATGGAAGAGTCATCAGAAGAAAACCTCTTCTACGTCCTCACCACAAAAATCATCGTTTGAACTTTGATAATGAACATATAGACAAGCCTGATGCATTTTGGAAACAAGTTCTGTGGACCGATGAGGTTAAAATTGAACTTTTTGGCCGGAATGAGCAAAGGTACGTTTGGAGAAAAAGGGGCACAGAATTGAATGAAAAGAACCTCTGTCCAACTGTGAAGCATGGGGTTGGATCAATCATGCTTTGGGGTTGTGTTGCAGCCAGTGGCACAGGGAACATCTCACGAGTAGAAGGAAAAATGGATTCAATAAAATTTCAGCAAATTTTGGATGGTAACTTGATGCCATCTGTGAAAAAGCTGAAGTTAAAGAGAGGATGGCTTCTACAAATGGATAATGATCCTAAACACAACTCAAAATCCACGGGGGATTACATCAAGAGGTGTAAACTGAAGGTTTTGCCATGGCCTTCACAATCTCCTGACCTCAACATAATTGAAAATCTATGGCTAGACCTTAAAAGAGCCGTGCGTGACAGACAGCCCAGAAATCTCAAAGAACTGGAAGACTTTTGTAAGGAAGAATGGGCAAAGATACCTCAAACAAGAATTGAAAGACTCTTGGCTGGCTACAAAAAGCGTTTACAAGCTGTGATACTTGCCAAAGGGGGCAGTGCATGCTATAAATTCTGCAGGGTGCCCAAACTTTTGCAGACGCCATTTTTTTGTTTTCTGTTATTTTGAAAGTGTAAATGATGGAAATAAAATCTAACTTTTGTTGACATATTATAAGAATGTCTTATCTGTAATTTGATGCCTTTTGGAGATTTTTCCATCTTTCCTTGGCTTCTTTATGCACATTAATACAAATTTTTAGCTGGGGTGCCCAAACTTTTGATCCCCACTGTATATGTAAAGCGCTGCATAAATTGATGGCGCTATATAAGTACCTGAAATAAATAAAAGTTATAGCATTTACAAACTGTGGTGTGTGTATATACTGGAATTTATTAATTTTTTTTGTAATACTAGTAAAAGCGGCCATCAGCGACTTGCAGCGGACAGTCTGACACTTACTGACACTTTGTGGGAACCAGTGACACTAATACAGTGCTCAGTTCTGAAAATATACACTGTCACAGTATTTACTGACACTGGCTGTGAAGGGGTTAATATCTAGGGCAATCAAAGGGTTAAATATGTATCTAACCAGTGCTTTACTATGTGCCATGTGCTGCTTTTACTAATGGATGTGCTGGATTGCACACCCGTTTGCAGGGGACAACAATCCAGCACATCACTGGTGACAGCCCATGGAAGAAAGATATATATTTTAAAAATATTCTTCCCAAATATACTGACATATATTTGAAATACTACAATCATGGCCATATTCAATATAGTTCAAAATATATTTCAATAAACATATATATATATTGCATGTTGAAAATGCATTTTTTATATATTACAAATATTTTTTTATATATATATATATATATATATATATATATATATATATATATTTTTTTTTTTTCTTTCTTTAACATACCGTCACCCTAGCGGTACAGCATCACCATAGTGACACTGTACTACTTATGGGGGGTGATTTAAGATTTTTTTTTTTTTTACACTGATTGCTTTTACACCCATAAAGGCTGTAAAAGCAATAATTCCTCCTTCTCTCTGGCTGTATTCTTGCAGCCATTGAGAAATACTGTGTGAGCTGTGATTGGTCACAGCTTGTCACATGGTACAAGGCTGCTGTGAATAGCTCTGTACCATGTGACCTCTGTGATCATTCACAGATTTCACTAGTAGTAAGCAGTGATGTCAGAATTGACATCTTGCTTACTACTATTCATGTGATCACTACAAATCAGTGATCACATGATCGGGACCTCACACAGAGGTCCTGTACAGAGATCGGTGTTCTGCTGTGTCCGGAGGACACAGTGGGCACCGGATCACTGTACCGCACGCTCCCAGGGAGCATGCTCAGGCAGGGAATGTCAGAGGACACAGCTGGCTCCGGATCGTGGGTTCTGCGCGCTCCCAGGGAGCGGGCACAGGCAGTGAATGCGGAGGCAGTTTATAAACGTCCACCTCCTGTACTGCTCCCGTCCGGCCGTTTATGTACATGGGCCATACAGAAGTGGTTAAAAAACACTATTGGGGTGGACCTGCATACAAAACGCATGCCATAAATAACCTCTCTAATCTGAGGGACACGTGGCTTCAGTAAGCCGTGTGTGAATCATTCATGGTGGAGACTGGCTCACTACAGCGGGATGCATGTGGACTTCTTTCACATACTGTCTGTTTATGTTAATATGCACAGTGGTGTCTTATTTGTATTTATTGAGCGCAGCACATTTTTAAAAATTTGATATTGAAAGTCCTGCCCTCCTGAACCCTATTTACCCACTGGATGTACTTAAAGATTTCAGTCATGTCCCCCCTTTCCCTTCTTTCATGCAGAGTGTAAAAATTAAAGTGGTTGTAAACGTACATTTAAAAACACAAAATAACAAACAGGTTAATACGTACCTGCTCTGTGCAATAGAATTGCACAAAGCGGCTTGCACTTCCTCTTCTACCAGTGCTCCTGGCTCCTCCTCTCCATCTACTACCCCTATATCTGCTTGCTATGGGTGCACTTGTGTGGGCTCTCCCCCGAATCCTGATGTCTGGGTTCATTGACTAAGACCCCAGGACTCGGCCCCTCCCCCTGCTCCCTTGTCACTAGCTTTGATTGACAGCAGCGGGAGCCAATGGCTTCTGTTCCAGAGCAAAGCCTGTGAAACCTGGAACTAAAGGGAGAGAAGAGCTGCAGACGTGCACAAAACTGGATCAAATGAGGGCTCAGGTTGGTAAAAGGGTGTCGAGGGATACTGATGCCTAAACATTTTTTATATTAATGCAAGGAATGCATTAAGGTAAACCAGTGTTAAGCTTTATAACCACTTTAAGTTCCTGAAATCTTCTTTGATATGTTTTATCTCTCAGTCCTGGACACCAGAGCTTGACACGTTATTCTAAATCAGGTCTAACTTTACAAATCTGCTCAAATATATTCCTGACCTGTCACAATTTACGGTAACAGTAAGGCCTTATGTACACAGGACTTTTTTTTTCCCTCCAGAGATGCCTTTGCTCCAGAGGAGGAAAAAGCAGCTTTAAAAATGCTCCTGAAGCCGTGTTTTGCAAACAGGTTTAAGCATGTCAGGCATCTGGGCGCTCATTCATTTCATTGACAAGAATATTCATTTATTTTGGCCATTGGAATGAATGAACGCTCTAGCGCAAAAAGCATTTACCATATGTTTTGCTCCATAAGACGCACCTAGGTTTTAGAGGAGGAAAACAAGAAAAAAATATTCTTACCCAATGGACTGCAGACACGGTACAGGAGATGACAGGAGACGGTGGACACAGTACAGGAGATGACCGGAGACTGGGGACGTAGTACAGGAGATGACCGGAGACTGCGGACACGGTACAGGAGATGACCGGAGACTGCGGACACGGTACAGGAGATGACCGGAGACTGCGGACACGGTGCAGGAGACGGCCGGAGACTGCGGACACGGTACAGGAGATGACCGGAGACTGCGGACACGGTGCAGGAGCGGCCGGAGACTGCGGACACAGTACAGGAGATGACCGGAGACTGCGGACACGGTGCAGGAGACGACCGGGCCGGAGACTGCGGACACGGTACAGGAGATGACCGGAGACTGCGGACACGGTGCAGGAGACGACCGGAGACTGCGGACACGGTGCAGGAGACGGACCGGAGACTGCGGACACGGTGCAGGAGACGGCCGGAGACTGCGGACACGGTGCAGGAGACGACCGGAGACTGCGGACACGGTGCAGGAGACGACCGGAGACTGCGGACACAGGTACAGGAGATGACCGGAGACTGCGGACACGGTGCAGGAGACGACGGGAGACTGCGGGACACGGTGCAGGAGACGGCCGGAGACTGCGGACACAGTACAGGAGACGACCGGAGACTGCGGACACGGTGCAGGAGACGACCGGAGACTGCGGACACGGTACAGGAGACGACCGGAGACTGCGGACACGGTGCAGGAGACGACCGGAGACTGCGGACACGGTGCAGGAGACGGCCGGAGACTGCGGAACGGTACAGGAGACGGCCGGAGACTGCGGACACGGTGCAGGAGACGGCCGGAGACTGCGGACACGGTGCAGGAGACGACCGGAGACTGCGGACACGGTGCAGGAGACGACCGGAGACTGCGGACACGGTGCAGGAGACGACCGGAGACTGCGGACACGGTGCAGGAGACGACCGGAGACTGCGGACACGGTGCAGGAGATGTAAAGCGACTGCCCGGCAGTCCTAGCAACCAATCGGCAGCTAGTTAGTATGAAAAATGAATCCCAGCAGCTCCCGCTCCGCCCTCCCATGCAGTGCAGCTGTGCCTCCATATCTCAGATCTGTGAAAGGTTGGAGAGCATCGGAAAGAGGACATGACTCTGACAGGGGGGGGGGGGTATGAAGGGGCAGAGCACATAATTGGGGGATGGGGGGGTATATGAAGTGAAAGTGAAGCAGTGCTGTAGGGGGAGGGTGATGTGAAGGGAGGCAAGTACTGTTGGGGGGGGGGAGTGGATGTAATGTTAAGGGGGGCAAGTGTGGGGGAGGGGAGATGTGATGTAAAGGGGTGCAATGAGGGGGGGGAGATGTGATGTAAAGGGGGGCAGTGCTGTAGGGGGGATGTAAAGGGGAGCAGTGCTCTGGGGGGATGTGAAGAGGGGCAGTGCTCTGGGGAGGAGATCTGAAGGGGGGCAGTGCCATCAGTGCAATGGGGGGGAGAGATGTGATGTAAAGGGGGGGGGCAGTACTGTGGGAGGGATGTAAAGGGGGGGCAGTACTGTGGGAGGGATGTAAAGGGGGGGCAGAACTGTGGGAGGGATGTAAAGGGGGGGCAGTACTGTGGGAGGGATGTAAAGAGGAGCAGTGCTCTGGGGGGGATGTGAAGAGGGGCAGTGCTGTGGGGAGGAGATCTGAAGGGGGGGCAGTGCCATCAGTGCAATGGGGGGGGGAGATGTGATGTAAAGGGGGGCAGTGCTTGGTGTGGGGGTGATTTGAAGCAGGGCAGTGCTGGGGGGAGAAGGGGAGATGTGATGTAAGGGGAGGTAAGTGGTGGGGTGATGTGAAGTGGGACAATGCTGGGGTGGGGGGGGGGGGATGCTGTGGGGGTTGATGTAAATGAGGACAGTTCTGGGGGGGAAGGTTGAGGTAAAGGTCACAGTGGACAGTAATGTGAAGGGGAAACTAAGGGGGGGGGGGCTGAAGACACTGATGTAATATCAGGATTGTGATCTACAATTTGGGGTTGTGATGTGAAGGATCTGAGACATCGCACAATCAGGAGATTTGGACCTCTGTTGGAAGAATGTTTTACTGCCCGGACCTCGATGGATATTTTCAATACCCGTGGTATACACTATACCTGACCAATGCCCCTGGAAGCTGGAAATGATTGAAGCAGACACCTCTATTTTAGGGATCTCCTCTTGAATTTTCATCATCACCTAACGCCCGGCACAGAGCATTGTGAACACAGGTCGGCTGCATGACATGGGCACCCTTTAGAGAATGGTTTGCATGCCCTGTACGAATGGAAAGAGTTCTCTGGGTGAAATGAAGAGCATGACATCACTGTCCTGCCTCTCCAGCTTGGCCAATCAGAGAATGCTTAAGATCCATTCAGAAAATGCTTTGCATTTTTTGAATGGCACCTGTGCTGAGTGGCTGACCCTCTTATATTTACAATGCATCAAGCCAGCCACTAAGCATGGGACCCCAAAGCTAGCGAAGGTCACTGGAACACTGGAACAGCGGTGTCTACTTCAGTGATTTCCAGCTTCCAGGGCACCGGCCAGGTACGGGATATACAGAGTTGCATTGCTCCAAGCTGGACCAAGTAACTATGTAAAATTATACCGTACCTGAAATTCATCTTTAGATTGCATAATGGTTTGTGTAGTAATTGTATACTTAGAATATTTTTTAAAAATGGTCATTTTCCTTTAAATGTGCAGCTGAGACAGACTCCATTCCTCCTCCTCCAGCTCTGGATCAGTGTAGGCGACACATAACATTACGGAGATGTCTGAGGAGCTCGGCATAAGGAGCCATTCAGTGATATTCAGAGGAGAACTGCGCATCTGGGCCGCTTGGCGTTCTGGCACATCTGTGATTATGAAGCGATGTTTAATTTCGTGGCTCTCCGAAGAACAACTGCACAGAAAATAGACCATCTGGAGTACGGCAACTTTGTCTCAAGTCTGTCAGAAATATTTATTGGGTTTTTATTTTACATCCTCGTGAATTTGTCAGTTTGATTCCTTGTCTCCGCTGTTCACGGACATCTGATAAAATTAAAGAGAATAAAACACAGGCAGAGCCAGTACGTATTAGACAAGTTTGGGATTCCTGAAAAAAAAAAAAAAAAAAATTATAATCAGCTAGGTGGATGCTGCATTTGTATTGATGCTGTATTTGTCCCCACTGGCTCCAGACTGAGACCTGAGTGATCAAACACCGCTGATCACTCCGGTCTCAGTCTTCAGGCTGCAGAGAGCTGGTGACTGCCACTCACTGGTTTCTCTGCCTTGCACCTTCAGTGCTCACTGGAGCACGGGGCTGTGCAGGGGGGAGAGAGGCTTGCTCAGGCTCTCAGCAGCGTGCTGAGAGGCCGAGCCAGCTGCTGCTTCAATCATCTGGGTGGATCCTGACTGCAAAGTCGGGATCTTTCCCAAGCCTGGACTGGGTCTGTGATTTAAGTCAGCTGTGGACTTTAACCACTAGCCTACAGGGCACTTCTACCCCCTTCCTGCCCAGGCCAATTTCCAGCTTTCAGCGCTGTTGCACTTTGAATGACAATTGCGCGGTCATGCAACACTGTACCCATATGGAATTTTTATCATTTTTTTGGTGGCAGAGCTTTATTTTGGTGGTATTTATTCACCTCTGGGTTTTGTATTTTTTCTTAAACCAAAAACCACTGAAAATTTTGAAAAAAAAAAAAAAAAGTTTTTTCTTAGTTTTTGTTATAAAATTTTGTAAATAAGTGATTTTTCTCCTTCACTGATGAGTGCTAATGAGGTTGCAGTGATGGGCACTGATAGGCTGCACTGATGGACAGTGATAGGTGGCACTGATGAGGAGGCACTGGTAGGTGGCACTGAAAGGCAGCACTCGTATATGGCACTGATAGGCGGCACTGACTGGCACTGTTAGGTGGCACTGACGGGCACTGATGCACACGGATAGGTGGCACTGAAAGGCAGCTCAGATAGGCACTGATGTGGCACTGGCAGGTGGCATGGATGAGCACTGAGAGCTGGCACTGATGGACACTGACGGGTGGCGCTGCTGGGGCTACACAGATCATCAGGGCGCGCTAACCATCAGTGCCCTGATGATCAGTGTACATGTCCCATCCGAGGAAAGCCGATTACCGGCTCTCCTCTCCTCTGTCAACGTGACAGCTCGTGGGGAGAGAAATGCCAATAACTGGCATTTCCCTGTTTACATGTGATCAGCTGTGATTGGACACAGCTGATCACATGACTGAGCCGACATCTTCAGCTCTTTTCGTGGATCGGTGATCCGCTGTGTCCGAGGGACACAGCGCACCGCTGATCGCCGTGCTGCGGGAGCCACGCATGCGCAGTGAGAATGGGAGGACATCATATGACGTCCTCCCAGAACGAGAGAACCACTCTTGAGGGTGTCTGTTCCACATTTTCACAGCTCTCAGTGTGAAGAAACCTTTCCGTGTTTGGAGATTAAATTTATAAATGTACTATATTTGGATTGGATGTGATAGACCAACACAAAGTGGTCATCGTTGTGAAGTAGAAGGAAAATTAAAAATGCTTTTCAACAGTTTTTTACAAATAAATATCTGAAAAGTGTGGCGTGCATTTGTATTCAGCCCCCTTTACTCTGGTACCCCTAACTAAAATCTAGTGGAACCAATTGCTTTCAGAGGTCACCTAATTAGTAAATAGAGTCTCCCTGTGTAACTTAATCTCAGTATAAATACAGCTGTTGCGTGAAGCTGTCCACCTAACCTGACCGGCCGGGCAAGGAGAGCATTCATCAGAGAAGCAGCCAAGAGGCCCATGGGAACTCTGGAGGAGCTGCAGAGATCCACAGCTCAGGTGGGAGAATCTGTCCTCAGGACAACTATTAGTCATGCACTCCACAAATCTGGCCTTTATGGAAGAGTGACAAGAAGAAAGCCATTGTTGGAGGAAAGCCATAATAAGTCCCGGTTTCAGTTTACAAGAAGCCATGTGGGGGACACAGCAAACATGTGGAAGAAGGGGCTCTGGTCAGAGGAGACCAAAACTGAACTTTTTGACCTATAACCAAAACGCTATCGGTGGGGGAAAACTAACACTGCACATCACCCTGAACACACCATCCCCACTGTGAAACATGGTGGTGGCAGCATCATGTGGTGGGGATGCTTTTCTTCAGCAGGGACAGGGAAGCTGCTCAGAGTTGATGGGAAGATGGATGGAGCCAAATACAGGGCAATCTTAGAAGAAAACCTGTTAGAGTTTGCAGAAGACTTGAGACTGACGCCTCATGTCGAGTCAGGAGGAGTTAAAGCCTCCCATTCAAGTCTATGGTGAAGCTCCTCAAACGCCTGGCAGGTGTTTGTGGAGCATTAATATCATTAAATGTCATTATAGGCATTTGTGGTGCGGTTTTAACGCTTGGCAAATGCCTCAAAAGCATGCATAGGGCATTTGGGGAGCGTTAAAAATGCTTCCCTAACGCCTGCCAAACGCTATAGGGGTGTGTGACAAGAGTTAGACATTAGTCGAGTGTGAGCGAACCCTAACTGTTCGTGCAATTAAAAAAATATGTTTACAATCATCTCAGGGACATGGGGGGGCAGGAGAGTATTGACGGGGGACCTGAGAAAAGGAAGATCAGGGGTGCTCTGTGCAAAACCATTACACAGAGCAGGAAAGTATAATATGTTTATCATTTTAATTAACAAAAAAAAAGAAGAGGAAGCTTTAAGATCACTTTAAGGTAAACTTTACAATAAAGGAAAAAACAGTGAGGGTACCTAAACTACCTTCTATGTTCAACCGCCTCCCACCCCCCCTATAAGGAAATGACGGGTGCAAGGCGGTTATCGCATTCTGGGAGGATGTCGTATGACGTCCCCCCAGTCTAACCGCTCATGCGCGGCGATCGGTGGTACGCTGGGTCCCTCGGACAACGGATCACCGATCAACGGAAAGAGCCGGAGACATCGGCTCGGTCGTGATCAGCTGTGTCCAATCACAGCTGATCGCTCCTCACGAGCTGTCACGCTGACAGAGGAGAGCCGGTAATTGGCATTCCTCAGAGGGGACATCTACAGTGATCATCAGGGCACTGATGATCAGTGTAGCCCCAGCAGTGCCACCTGTCAGTGTTCATCAGTGTCACCTGCCAGTGCCCATCGGTGCCCCATAAATGCCACATAGTGCCTACCAGTGCACATCAGTGCCACATATCAGTGCCCATCTGATCTGCCTTTCAGTGTCACCTATCAGTGCCACCTATTAATGCCAGTCAATGCTACCTAACAGTGCCAGTCAGTGCTGCCTATCAGTGCCCATCACTGCAGCCTCATTAGCGCACATCAATGAAGGAGAAAAATCACTTATTTACAAAATTTTATAACAAAAACTAAGAAAAAACTTTTTTTTTTTTTTTTTTGCAAAATTTTCAGTAGTTTTGGTTTGTTTAGCAAAAAATAAAGAACCCAGATGTGAATAACATCCTTAGCGGTATTCCTGAGTGTAGCTCGGGGTAAAATTTGAGTACCAAAAGCGGTAACCCCCCCCCCCCCGAGCTACACTCGGGCTTACCATGCGGCGTTGCTCAGGGAGTCCCTGCAGCACTTACCTTGTCCTGCGCTCCCGCGATGTGTCCCCTGCAGCGTCCCCGGCCATCTCCTCCGGCCGATGCCGGAATCCGGCTTCTGTGTTCCGGTCCCTGTGACGTCGGGACGTACGGGCGCCGGAACCGGCGGCAAATTTTACATTTTTAAAAAATGTCATTTTTTTAAAAATGATTATTACATGGTAAAACATTGCTGTTTCAAACCATTTCACATACATTTTGTCCCGAGTGCTTTGTCCGGCGCCCTGCCTGCATTTTTACTGTTCTTTCAGCCTGGAAACTGGGAAACGTCCATGGCGTCCAGAAAGCGTCCCTTTAAGACAAAAGCGGTTTTAGACGGCTAGAGAACAGCGATAGTAAATCAGAACCACTTGCAGAATTGAGTGATAATGATTGGTGGGGGAAATTCCTCATCAGACACTGAAAACGATTCTGCGACTTTGCTCAGCGATGTGCGAACTTGGCGCTCTATTTCACATTTCAGTGTTTTTGGTGATTATATTACTGAATTACATTTATTATTATATTATTATTTTTATGATTATTATATTATAATTTATGATTTCGTGTTTCAAATTTTATCCTCCCCGGGATGTTTACTAGACTCTTGTTCGGACAGATTTTAGTGAGTTATTCCTAAGAATTACAGGCCTACAATAAAAAACTACATATTTCCATGCAAAAAAAAATGTACCGCTTTCAGCACAAAAAATCGGAAATAGTCATACCGCCGAGGAGGTTAAATACCACCAAAATAAAGCTCTATCTGTCTCAAAAAAATGATAAAAAAATTCATATGGGTACAGTGTTGCATGACCGTGCAATTGTCATTCAAAGGGTGACAGCACTGAAAGCTGAAAATTGGCCTGGGCAGGAAGGGGGGGGGGGGAAAGCGTCCGGACTGGAAGGGGGTATAAGTGTCCTGTAGGCGAGGGGTTAATAACCTGCATGCTTATAAAATTAATAACATTATAATCTAATAATAATAATCCTGCTTAGACAATGTCCTTGATTTGCAAATGTAAGGGATCCATTTATTGAGCCTCAGAAGGGGAAGAAGCTTCCACAATATTCGTCCTCTGTAGTGTTCTCAAGTATTGAGTGCTTCACTATTGTCTTAATAAAGTTGTTGATCATTTTTTTGCTAATTGCTTTTTTTTTTTCTTTGCGCTAGAACACACTGTACTTTCCCATCATGTTTTGTTGTTGTGGAGAGGGCTGCGGGGTTTTAAACCGTCTCCTTCTCTGTCCGCTTTGTTACTACGGGGCAAGCTGTGTGCGGCGTACTCCCGAGGTTTGTGCAGATGGCAGAGAGACTGAAGCCTGGAAACTGGGCTGAATAAAATCTAGCGTCATCTCACTTCATTGTAATTGGGGGAACTTGTTATTAGTGTGACCGGGGGGCATATTGGATGGAACGTGAAATCTGTTGATGTCTATATTTGTTTGTTTTTTTTTATACATACGAGGTCTGTCTGGAAAGTATGCAGCCAGGTAATATTAAAAATAGAGCGGGCAGCACAGTGGCTAAATGGTTAGCACTTCTGCCTGGCAGTACTCGGGTCGTTGGTTCAAATCCCAGCCACGGCACCTCCTGCCTGGAGTTTGCATGTTCTCCCTGTGCCTGCGTGGGTTTCCTCCGGGTACTCCGGTTTCCTCTCACACTCCAAAGACATGCTGGTAGGTTAATTGGATCCTGTCTAAATTGGCCCTAATATGTGTATGTATGATGGGAGTTAGGGACCTTAGATTGTACGCCCCTTGAGGGTTAGGGACTTAGATTGTACGCCCCTTGAGGGTTAGGGACCTTAGATTGTACGCCCCTTGAGGGTTAGGGACCTTAGATTGTACGCCCCTTGAGGGTCAGGGACCTTAGATTGTACGCCCCTTGAGGGTCAGGGACCTTAGATTGTACGCCCCTTGAGGGTTAGGGACCTTAGATTGTACGCCCCTTGAGGGTCAGGGACCTTAGATTGTACGCCCCTTGAGGGTTAGGGATCTTAGATTGTACACGCCTTGAGGGTTAGGGACCTTAGATTGTACGCCCCTTGAGGGTCAGGGACCTTAGATTGTACGCCCCTTGAGGGTTAGGGACCTTAGATTGTACGCCCCTTGAGGGTTAGGGACCATAGATTGTACGCCCCTTGAGGGTTAGGGATCTTAGATTGTACACCCCTTGAGGGTTAGGGACTGATGTGAATGTACAATATATATGTAAGCTAAGCAACTTATTCACTCCCTTGTTATATCTCGCCGTGACTACTGTAACTCCCTCCTCATTGGCCGACCTCACCGCAGGCTATCCCCTCTTCAGTCTATCATGAATGCTGCCGGACTCATCCACCTTGCTAACTGTTCTGTATCTTCCACCCCTTGCCAATCCCTCCACTGGCCTCCAATCAGTGTCCTGTACCCCTCTCTGCCAATCCCTCCACTGACCTCCACTCTGTGTCCTCCTCCCTCTCTGCCAATCCCTCCACTGGCCTCCATTCAGTGTCCTCCACCCTCTCTGCCAATCTCCACTGGCCTCCAATCAGTGTCCTCCACCCCTCTCTGCTAATCCCTCCACTGGCCTCCATTCAGTGTCCTCCATCCCTCTCTGCCAATCCCTCCACTGGCCTCCACTCAGTGTCGTCCATCCCTCTCTGCCAATCCCTCCACTGGCCTCCATTCAGTTTCTTCCATCCCTCTCTGCCAATCCCTCCACTGGCCTCCACTCAGTGTCGTCCTTCCCTCTCTGCCAATCCCTCCACTGGCCTCCACTCAGTGTCGTCCTTCCCTCTCTGCCAATCCCTCCACTGGCCTCCACTCAGTGTCCTCCATCCCTCTCTGCCAATCCCTCCACTGGCCTCCACTCGGTGTCCTCCATCACTCTCTGCCAATCCCTCCACTGGCTTCCTGTTGCCCAACTGACAAAATTCAAAACACTAACAATGACATATAAAGCCATTTATAACTCCGCCCTAAATTACATCACCAATCTTGTCTCCAAATATCACCCAAACCGTACCTCTCTGCTCCTCGCAAGACCTCCTACTCTCTAGCTCCCTTGTCTCCTCCTCCCATGCTTGTCTCCAGGACTTCTCCAGAGCTTCCCCCATTCTCTGGAACTCTCTACCCCAATTTATCAGACGATCGCCTACTCTGCTCATTTTTAGACGATCTCTGAAAACCCATCTCTTCAGGGAAGCCTATCCTGCCCTCAGCTAATACTGCAATCTTCTATTCCTCATACCAGTCCATCCCCCACAGTTATTACCTTTTTGTACCACCAGCCCCTCCCTCCTAGATTGTAAGCTCCCAGGATCAGGGCCCTCCTAACCCTCTTGTATTGAACTGTATTGTTGCTGTATTGTCTCCCGTTATATTGTAAAGCGCTGAGCAAACTGTTGGCACTATATAAATCCTGTAAAATAATAATAATAAAGAGCTGCATAAATGGACGGCGCTATATAAGTACCTGAAATAAATAAATAGACATTTATTGAAGAAAATGCAAGATACATTGTAGATAGGACATATGTAGCAGAAGCCGCAGAACGAATTTTGCCACGACACGTTTCATGCCAAGATTCTGCGTCCTCTCGGACACAGTCGTCTTTGGAACCCCCTGATCAGCGTCTAGTTCTCAGTCAGTCGCTGATCCTTGACGATTGCAGCCCGTACTCGTTCAGCATTCTCAGGTGTTTTTTGTAGCAGGCCTTCCAGGACATGGATCACTTTCAACAGATTCTCAACCATCTTTGAAGCATTTGTGCCACTCTGTTATTTGCGCTGCACTCATTGCATCATCCCTGAGAACCTTCCGAATCGTCCGAATAGTTTCCACGGAGCAACGTTCCAGCTTGCCATAAAATTTGATGCAGATTAGTTGCTCTATTCGCTCCGTCATTCTGAATGCGACGGCCAGTCAGTACACATGCTCACCCAACGGCGCCTAGTCCCCCCCCACTGACTAGTACAGTGAAGTCATCATTGCTAGTGCATTCCAGTCTGCTCTCCCAATGTTGTGCCAACTGTTCTCATTATATTAAAGGGTAAGTTCACCTTTGAGAACATGTTACATGTTCCACCCGTTTTTAGGGTGAAACGTAACATGTTCCACTGCTGCAGCCATTCGCCAATCCCCCCTTCCCTGTGACAGCAGCACATGGAGAAGATCCCCCATACCAACTGTCTTTTTTTAAAAAGAGTGTGGGCGTGCTGGGCTCCGCCCACATGACCACAACATTCATTCACAGACTTCTGTGAATTAATCAACTACAACAGGGGTGTCAAACTGGGTGCATTCTTGCAGCCATGGAGAAATACTGTGTGAACTGTGATTGGTCACAGCTTATCACATGGTACAAGGCTGTTGTCAATGGCCCTGTACCATGTGATCTCTGTGATCATTCACAGATTTTACTAGTAGTAGGCAGTGATGTCAGAACTGACATCTTGCTTACTACTGTTCATGTGATCGCTGATTTGACCAATCAGCGATCACATGATCGGGACCTCACACAGAGGTCCCGTACAGCGATCAGTGTTTATAAACGACCACCCGCTCCTGCAATGCTGGTGGTTAAAGCTTCAACGTTTGGGAGCATAAAAAATTGTTTTTGTAGAGTTTTTGGGAACATTTTTTCGGGCAGAAAAAAACACTAAACAATCCAAATATGCTCCTAATAGCTTTTATTTAGCTTCCCCCCCCCCCCCCACACGTTTAGTATCCGGTGATTTAAATGAGGACCTTGTTCATCTATATATTTTTATATGTGGGGGGAGTGGAGAATCGACGGGGGGGGAGTAGAGGATCCCATGGCTATTTCAGGTGTGAAGATTACAGCTGGGCTATGGATTTTAACCACCTCCTGTCCGGCCGTTGTATA